TTGTTATTGTTGAAGGGTTGAGTGTTATTGTTGAAGGGTTGAGTGTTATGTTGAGTGTTATTGTTGAAGGGTTGGGTGTTATTGTTGAAGAGTTGAGTGTTATTGTTGAGGGGTGGAGTGTTATTGTTGAAGGGTTGGGTGTTATTGTTGAAGAGTTTAGTGTTATTGTTGAAGGGTTGAGTGTTATTGTTGAGTGTTATTGTTGAGGGGTTGAGTGTTATTGTTGAAGGGTTGAGTGTTATTGTTGAAGGGTTTGGTGTTATTGTTGAGGGGTTGAGTGTTATTGTTGAGGGGTGGAGTGTTATTGTTGAAGGGTTGAGTGTTATTGTTGAAGAGTTGAGTGTTATTGTTGAAGGGTTGAGTGTTATTGTTGAGGGGTTGAGTGTTATTGTTGAAGAGTTGAGTGTTATTGTTGAGGGGTTGAGTGTTATTGTTGAAGGGTTGAGTGTTATTGTTGAAGGGTTGAGTGTTATTGTTGAGGGTTGAGTGTTATTGTTGAGGGTGTTATTGGTTGAGTGTTATTGTTGAAGGGTTGAGTGTTATTGTTGAGGGTTGAGGTTATTGTTGAGTGTTATTGTTGAGGGTTGAGTGTTATTGTTGAGTGTTTTAGTGTTATTGTTGAGGGGTTGAGTGTTATTGTTGAAGGGTTGAGTGTTATTGTTGAAGGGTTGAGTGTTATTGTTGATGGGTTGAGTGTTATTGTTGATGGGTTGAGTGTGTTATTGTTGAAGGGTTGAGTGTTATTGTTAGGGTTGAGTGTTATTGTTGAAGGGTTGAGTGTTATTGTTGAAGGGTTGAGTGTTATTGTTGAAGGGTTGAGTGTTATTGTTGAGGGTGAGTGAGTGTTATTGTTGAAGGGTTGGGTGTTATTATTCAGGGGTCGGGCGTTATTGTTGATGAGTTGGGTGTTATTGTTGAAGGGTTGAGTGTTATTGTTGAAGAGTTGAGTGTTATTGTTGAGGGGTTGAGTGTTATTGTTGAAGGGTTGAGTGTTATTGTTGAAGGTGTTAGTGTTATTGTTGAAGGTTGAGTGTTATTGTTGAGAGTGTTATTGTTGAAGAGTTGAGTGTTATTGTTGAGGGGTTAGGTGTTATTGCTGAAGTGTTATTGTTGAAGAGTTGAGTGTTATTGTTGAGGGGTTGAGTGTTATTGTTGAAGAGTTGAGTGTTATTGTTGAGGGGTTGAGTGTTATTGTTGAAGAGTTGAGTGTTATTGTTGAGGGGTTAGGTGTTATTGTTGAGGTTTTGGGTGTTATTGCTAAGGGTGGAGTGTTATTGTTGAAGGGTTGAGTGTTATTGTTGAAGAGTTGAGTGTTATTGTTGAGGGGTTGAGTGTTATTGTTGAGGGGTTGAGTGTTATTGTTGAGGGGTTGAGTGTTATTGTTGAAGAGTTGAGTGTTATTGTTGAAGGGTTGAGTGTTATTGTTGAAGGGTTGAGTGTTATTGTTGAGGGGTTGAGTGTTATTGTTGAAGGGTTGAGTGTTATTGTTGAAGTGTTGGGTGTTATTGTTGAGAGGGTTGAGTGTTATTGTTGAAGGGTTGAGTGTTATTGTTGATGGGTTGTGTGTTATTGTTGAGGGTTGAGTGTTATTGTTGAAGGGTTGAGTGTTATTGTTGAGGGGTTGAGTGTTATTGTTGAAGGGTTGAGTGTTATTGTTGAGGAGTTGAGTGTTATTGTTGAGGGGCTGAGTGTTATTGATGAAGAGTTGGGTGTTTTTGTTGAGGAGTTGAGTGTTATTGTTCAAGGGTTGGGTGTTATTGTTGAAGGGTTGGGTGTTATTGTTGAAGAGTTGGGTGTTTTTGTTGAGGGGTTGAGTGTTGTTGCTGAAGGGTTGAGTGTTATTGTTGAAGGGTTGGGTGTTTTTGTTGAGGGGTTGAGTGTTATTGTTGAGGGGTTGAGTGTTATTGTTGAAGGGTTGAGTGTTATTGTTGAAGAGTTGAGTGTTATTGTTGAAGAGTTGAGTGTTATTGTTCAGGGGTTGAGTGTTATTTTTGAAGGGTGGAGTGTTATTGTTGAAGGGTTGAGTGCATTGTTGAGGGGTTGAGTGTTATTGTTGAAGAGTTGGGTGTTATTGTTGAAGGGTTGAGTGTTATTGTTGAAGGGTTGAGTGTTATTGTTGAGGGGTTGAGTGTTATTGTTGAGGGGTGGAGTGTTATTGTTGAAGGGTTGAGTGTTATTGTTGAGGGGTTGAGTGTTATTGTTGAAGGGTTGAGTGTTATTGTTGAGGGGTTGAGTGTTATTGTTGAAGAGTTGAGTGTTATTGTTGAAGGGTTGAGTGTTATTGTTGAGGAGTTGAGTGTTATTGTTGAGGGGCTGAGTGTTATTGTTGAAGAGTTGAGTGTTATTGTTGAGGGGTTAGGTGTTATTGTTGAGGGGTTGAGTGTTATTGTTGAAGGGTTGAAAGTTTTTGTTGGAGAGTTGAGTGTTATTGTTGAGGGGTTGAGTGTTATTGTTGAAGAGTTGAGTGTTATTGTTGAAGGGTTGAGTGTTATTGTTGAAGGGTTGAGTGTTATTGTTGAAGAGTTGAGTGTTATTATTTAGGGGTTGAAGGTAATTGTTGAAGAGTTGAGTGTTATTGTTGAGGGGTTGAGTGTTATTGTTGAAGAGTTGAGTGTTATTGTTGAGTGGTTGAGTGTTATTGTTGAGGGGTGAAATGTTATTGTTGAAGGGTTGAGTGTTATTGTTGAGGGGTTGAGTGTTATTGTTGAGGGGTTGAGTGTTATTGTTGAGGAGTTGAGTGTTATTGTTGAGGGGCTGAGTGTTATTGTTGAAGAGTTGAGTGTTATTGTTGAGGAGTTGAGTGTTATTGTTCAAGGTTGGGTGTTATTGTTGAGGGGTTGAGTGTTATTGTTGAAGGGCTTAGTGTTATTGTTGAGAGGTTGGGAGTTATTGTTGAGGGGATGAGTGTTATTGTTGAAGAGTAAAGTGTTATTGTTCAGGGGTTGAGTGTTATTGTTGAAGGGTTGGGTGTTATTGTTGAGGGGTCGGGCGTTATTGTTGAAGGGTTGAGTGTTATTGTTGAAGGGTTGAGTGTTATTGTTGAAGGAAGGGTTGAGTGTTAATATTGAAGGGTCACAGTGTTCTTAATGAAGTGTTGAGTGTTATTGTTGATGGGTTGAGTGTTATTGTTGAAGGGTTGAGTGTTATTGTTGAGGGGTTGAGTGTTATTGTTGAAGGGTTGAGTGTTATTGTTGAAGTGTTGAGTGTTATTGTTGACGTGTTGTGTGTTTTTGTTGAGGGGTTGAGTGTTATTGTTGAAGGGTTGTGTGTTATTGTTGATGGGTTGAGTGTTATTGTTGAGGGGTTGTGTGTTATTGTTGAGGGTTGTGTGTTATTGTTGAAGGGTTGAGTGTTATTGTTGAAGAGTTGAGTGTTATTGTTGAGGGGTTGAGTGTTATTGTTGAAGGGTTGAGTGTTATTGTTGAAGGGTTGGGTGTTATTGTTGAGGGGTTGAGTGTTATTGTTGAAGGGTTGAGTGTTATTGTTGAAGGGTTGAGTGTTATTGTTGAAGGGTTGAGTGTTATTGTTCAAGGGTTGAGTGTTATTGTTGAAGGGTTGGGTGTTATTGTTGAAGGGTTGGGTGTTATTGTTGAGAGGTTGGGTGTTATTGTTGAGGGGTTGAGTGTTATTGTTGAAGAGTAAAGTGTTATTGTTCAGGGGTTGAGTGTTATTGTTGAAGGGTTGGGTGTTATTGTTGAAGGGTTGGGTGTTATTGTTGAGGGGTTGGGTGTTATTGTTGAGGGGTTGGGTGTTATTGTTGAAGGTTTGAGTGTTATTGTTGAGGGGTTGGGTGTTATTGTTGAGAGGTTGGGTGTTATTGTTGAGGGGTTGGGTGTTATTGTTGAAGGTTTGAGTGTTATTGTTGAGGGGTTGGGTGTTATTGTTGAGGGGTTGAAGTTTACTACAATCACAGATTTTCACAGGATCTCACAAAGTACACAATTCATATACAATGTAAAAAGCATGATTTCACTTCTTGGAGATACAACCACAATGTCTGACTATAGGCTTGCCATATTTTTTAACTTTCAAAAGCAGAAACTTAAGCTAGGTAATGTAACTCTGTTCTCTAATCACTGCTGATTGTATACCTTTCTTTACTTTTTAGTACCTGTAAAAAGATATCACTTTTTGTAAATTTTTGTAACTTTTTAGTAGGAGATTGGAACCCTGGTCTTAACTGGTTTCTATCTAGCATTAGTAGTTATAACTTTTTGTAACTATTTAGTACTAGCCTGGAACCCTGGTCTTAACTGGTTTCTACCTAGCATTAATAGTTATAACTTTTTGTAACTATTTAGTACTAGCCTGGAACCCTGGTCTTAACTGGTTTCTATCTAGCATTAATAGTTATAACTTTTTGTAACTATTTAGTACTAGCCTGGAACCCTGGTCTTAACTGGTTTCTATCTAGCATTAATAGTTATAACTTTTTGTAACTTTTCAGTACTAGATTGGAACCCTGGTCTTAACTGGTTTCTATGTAATATTTAAAGTTATAACTTTTTGCAACTTTTCAGAACTAGATTGGTTCTTATGGTCTAAACTGGTTCTTATGAAATGTAAAAGTGATTTTATAGATACATCACAAAGAAGCATAATTGTTACAAAGATGTAGGTCACAAAACTTTGAGAAAAGTTAGAAACCTCTATGATGGAAATGACAAGTGCTTTCATTTTAGATACTGAAGAACCTATGATCAGTGGACTCTTTAATTTGCTTGATTCCAAGCAATTTTACTTCCTACTGTCATTCTGAAATGATCATCAGTGAAAAGATATCAAATTTGACATTGACCTCTGATCTTTAGAGCCTAGGTCATTGACCTCTGATCTTGTTTTTCACCTAAATATTAATTTTTATAAATATGATATATTCACCAAATTTTATGCAAATCAGTAAATAAATGTTAAATGTCTTCAGAAAGTGAATTTCTGGACAGAAGGAAGGACAAATGGATGGATGAGGTAATTACTGTAGGGCACCTGTCAGAGTATACCTACTATCATTGGAAATACCATAGAAGCGCACAATGTTAGGATGCTGAAGTTCTTTCATCATCTCAGCTTCACGTCTGAATTCTGGACTCTGTAGAACAGATGTGTATTCTTTGCTCTTCAAACACTTGGCTGCTATGACAATTTTTTCACCAAACCACGTCAAAGTGCCTTTTTTAACCTTTCCATAGTGTCCCTGTCATCAGAGATACATAATACTGAGAACAAAGTGATGTCAACTGGAAATCATCTGCTGAATAATGATATGCAGTGTTCCAGTGTTACTGTGTAATAATTCTACTGCTCAATAATTCTACTGCTCAATAATTCTACAGATCAATAATTCTACCGATCAATAATTCTACCGATCTAAAATTCTACTGTGTAATAATTCTACTGATCAATAATTCTACTGATCAATCATTTTACTGAATAATAATTCTACTGAATAATAATTCTACTGATCTAAAATTCTACTGATCTAAAATTCTACCGATCTAAAATTCTACTGTGTAATAATTCTACTGTGTAATAATTCTACTGATCAATAATTCTACCGATCAATAATTCTACTGATGTAAAATTCTACTGTGTAATAATTCTACTGATCAATCATTTTACTGAATAATAATTCTACTGATCAATCATTTTACTGAATAATAATTCTACTGAATAATAATTCTACTGATCAATAATTCTACTGATCAAAATTTACTGATCAATAATTCTACTGATCAATAATTCTACTGATCAATAATTCTACTGATCAATAATTCTACTGATCTAAAATTCTACTGATCAATAATTCTACTGATCAATAATTCTACTGATCTAAAATTCTACTGATCAATAATTCTACTGATCTAAAATTCTACTGATCAATAATTGTACTGATCAATAATTCTACTGATCAAAATTCTACTGATCAATAATTCTACTGATCAATAATTCTACTGATCTAAAATTCTACTGATCAATAATTCTACTGATCTAAAATTCTACTGATCTAAAATTCTACTGATCAATAATTCTACTGATCTAAAATTCTACTGATCAATAATTCTACTGATCAATAATTCTACTGATCTAAAATTCTACTGATCAATAATTCTACTGATCTAAAATTCTACTGATCAATAATTCTACTGATCAATAATTCTACTGATCTAAAATTCTACTGATCTAAAATTCTACTGATCAATAATTCTACTGATCAAAATTCTACTGATCTAAAATTCTACTGATCAATAATTCTACTGATCTAAAATTCTACTGATCAATAATTCTACTGATCAATAATTCTACTGATCTGAAATTCTACTGATCAATAATTCTACTGATCTAAAATTCTACTGATCAATAATTCTACTGATCTGAAATTCTACTGATCAATAATTCTACTGATCAATAATTCTACTGATCTGAAATTCTACCGATCAATAATTCTACTGATCAATAATTCTACTGATCAATAATTCTACTGATCAATAATTCTACTGATCTTAAATTCTACTGATCAATAATTCTACTGATCAATAATTCTACTGATCTGAAATTCTACTGATCAATAATTCTACTGATCAATAATTCTACTGATCTGAAATTCTACTGATCAATAATTCTACTGATCTAAAATTCTACCGATCAATAATTCTACCGATCTGAAATTCTACTGATCAATAATTCTACTGATCAATAATTCTACTGATCAATAATTCTACTGATCAATAATTCTACCGATCTAAAATTCTACTGTGTAATAATTCTACTGATCTAAAATTCTACCGATCAATAATTCTACCGATCTAAAATTCTACTGTGTAATAATTCTACTGATCTAAAATTCTACCGATCAATAATTCTACCGATCTAAAATTCTACTGATCAATAATTCTACTGATCTAAAATTCTACTGATCAATAATTCTACTGATCTAAAATTCTACTGATCAATAATTCTACCGATCTAAAATTCTATTGTGTAATAATTCTACTGATCTGAAATTCTACTGATCAATAATTCTACCGATCTGAAATTCTACTGTGTAATAATTCTACTGATCTAAAATTCTACCGATCAATAATTCTACCGATCTAAAATTCTACTGTGTAATAATTCTACTGATCTGAAATTCTACTGATCAATAATTCTACCGATCTGAAATTCTACCGATCAATAATTCTACTGATCAATAATTCTACTGATCTAAAATTCTACTGATCTAAAATTCTACTGATCTAAAATTCTACTGATCAATAATTCTACCGATCTGAAATTCTACCGATCAATAATTCTACTGATCAATAATTCTACTGATCTGAAATTCTACTGATCAATAATTCTACCGATCTGAAATTCTACCGATCAATAATTCTACTGATCAATAATTCTACTGATCTAAAATTCTACTGATCAATAATTCTACTGATCAATAATTCTACTGATCAATAATTCTACTGATCTAAAATTCTACTGATCAATAATTCTACTGATCTGAAATTCTACTGATCAATAATTCTACTAATCTGAAATTCTACTGATCAATAATTCTACCGATCTGAAATTCTACTGATCAATAATCTAATAATTCTACTGATCAATAATTCTACTGATCTAAAATTCTACTGATCAATAATTCTACTGATCAATAATTCTACTGATCAATAATTCTACTGATCTAAAATTCTACTGATCTGAAATTCTTTGCTTTAACCAAGAGATTTCCAGTTAAGAGATAATTATACTGGAGAAATACACCTACCTCTCCAATACTTTCAGGGTAGATTTGTAATTGATGGCTTCGGATCATGGATTGACATTCAGGTTGTGGTAGAGGTCTTTTTGGAGGAGGGCCAAGCTGACGACCTGCTCTGTTTGGTAGGGGGCCATGCTGATGACTTGCTCTGTTTGGTAGGGGGCCATGCTGATGACCTGCCTCAGGAGAAGCAACTGATGGCTGTGGCAAGTCTGGCAGGGGAATCACAGATCTCTCTAAAAATGTTCAACAGTTTCCTCATCACATATTATTTCTTCTCAAAAAACGAATTTCTTCAATTAAAGCTACTAAGTAAAAGAAGATTTAAAGATTTTATTATGAATCTTATTTAAGATTCCTTTTTATTAAACTTTTCCCCTTCAATTCTTTTGTTCAACTCCTTTAACCTTCGTTAGCTCTTGCTCAACCTTCCTTTAATTCTTGTTCAATTCTTCTTCCAATCTTCTTTAACCTTCCTTAGCTTTAGCCCAACCTTCCTTCAACTCTATTTCAACTCGTTTCCCAATCTCCTTTAACCTTTCTTCATATCTTATTCAACTCTTGTTCACACCCCCTTCTATAAAATTGAAGCAGAGTTGAACAAGTAACTCTTTGAAATTATCAATGTGTGTCAGATTTTAAAAAATGCCTGGAATGTATTCATTCTTTTTTCTTATTGATGTATCATTCAGTCCAAAATAAACAAATCATGGTTTATATAATTTTCCACTTGAGAATGACAAATATTTTTTGTTCATATTTAGTATATGGTGGTTAAACCTTGCTAAATCATTTACCATTTAAGGATTCAAACTGTTGACCAGGGGTGCTGGATGCGACTTCATCCAATTCGGGTATAGGGAAACTTGTCAAAATATCCGGAACATCTTCATCGTTATCAGCATGGTGTGACATCTGAGAACTTTCTGCTTCGGACCATATTGGGTAATCATCCAGAATTTTATCATAGTCGTGGTATTGACTAGCTGTTAAAAATAACAGAGAAAAGTGCTAAAATTTGTTATACCCTCTCATCAAATTGAGAATACATAGTAAAATTACCTATTTATTAGCTATGGTTCCAAATTTTGCAGGTCAAACAAATGTTCTTTCCAAAGGTTATGGAATAGAACAAAATGTATTTCATTTTAAGGCTACCTCCATGGTCACCAACTCACATGATTTTGTCAGGTCAACCTGACATTGCCCATATCATGACCTATTCAAATCATCAAATTACACTGGATTCATCTGAAATTCTATAGATAGTAATTTGAAGTTTTGGATCTAATACAGTCAAAACAAGAAAATTTGGTGAATAATGTCCCCAATCAACACATCCACTCACCAAGGTGAACCCATATCCTAAGCATTGAGTTCAGTTTTGTAAAAGATGAGGTGCAATATAGGTCAAAGGTTAAAATGTAGGCCATAGTGACCTACTTTTGATATACAAGACACCTTCACATCAAGGTCAACCTACATCCCAAGTTTTAAGTTCCAGTAGTGTAGAGGGACCAGAAAGCAGAAGAAGTGATAAGTATATAATATTTATATGATAGAATTGATTCTAAGATCATTTTACCTGATGACCCTTTAAAACACTCTGTCACCCTTGATTCTGAAGGCCATGACCAGGTATTATTTTACAAGAGATTGGCAACACGTTACAGTAAGAATTGTTTTGTTTCTCCTTTTTTTTTCTTTTAATGATAAAATCTTATGAAAATAGTAAAAAAATACAAGCTTAAAAAATTGGATTCTGAAAAATATATATGCACAATGTTTTAAATACAAAATAAACAAGTAGGAACATTTTTCTTAATTCAGAAAAAAAGTTGTCATGAGATGTTGAAAATTAGTTCTGGATTTTTTCTGTTATAAATCCAGGGAACGTACACATAAACTTCAACTCTAAGAAGGAGGTGGGCTTTTTACAGGACAATGATATAACAGATGTTGGTATTTCCATTACAACTGACATGAATGGGGTTACTACCACGCAAGGGCTCATTACTAGATAGATGTTGTGTACAGTGTACAGACTGAATCTGATGTGTGATCAATCAAAGTATTGTGTTTTGACATTAGTGGTGAAATAATATCACAATATTGTCACCAACTGAGTTTTACAGGTGACAGAAAAAAAATTAAATTAACACAAGCAAAAATGTTTATTTTATTACCACAGACTAGGCACAGATTTGTTACTGACATAATGAATATTAACAATCCATATCCTGCTAGATATCTTAATGAGAAATTTGCAGATAGCATTGCTGATGATATTGTCACCACTTATTTTTCACTGACCAATCAAATGTTGTTTAAGTTTTCAAATTATTTTCATTGACCAATCAAATGTTGTTTTAGTTTCCAAATTATTTTCATTGACCAATCAAATGTTGTTTTAGTTTCCAAATTATTTTCATTGACCAATCAAATGTTGTTATATGTTTCATATGGCTTAAAATATATGAAATTAGGAATTGTCAAAATTCTAAATAAAATTTTGTCAGCTAGATCATCAAGGTGTTATTAGTGTTCAAAGTTGTACACCTGTGTAATTTATCACGACACTAATTAGCCTATTGCTGGAGGACCTGATGTCACCCTTATCTAGGTAAGTTACACAACTCGTGTGAGTGATAAAACAAAGATCAAAGACATACCTGTAATATCATTGTGAACATTGATCTCAAATTATTGTTGATCACTTTAATCAGCATTTAATTAGGTTATTAGTGTAAGGATAGTAATGTCTGATTTATCTTCTTGCTGACCTTTAATCGCAATGTTGATAATGAGAAGTTCTTGAATGGTGATGTCACATTTAGGAGAGAAATTCTTAGTCGATTTCAACAAGAAGAGGCGTTGTATGACCAAGCATTACAATATTTGTTTTCATTCACTTTTAGATCAAATTCATGAAGTTCTGGGCCTGATACATGAAGCATAATCCATCATTCTACCAGATGTGGATTTAGCATTTTGTAAATACGTGAATAGTGAAACAACAGTGATATGATTATTTTATAGATAAATGCATTTAGACAATGATTATTTTTTCCAAGTTTTGAAATATTTGAGTATATGTTTGTGTCTTTACATATTACCTTTTCCCTTGACATATTCATATGCTATTTTCACATTTTTACCGAATTCACGGGCCTAGAAATTTATCTCCTACAGCTAACATTTTCAGTGTAACTATTTATGTGTTATGTTGATCATATTGAGAACATCCAGTCACTGTAAGTACCCTCCTGTCCTGTATTGTTAAAATGTAACAGCAGGCCTAGCATGTAATGACTGCCCATGCACAGTGAACGCATCATATCATATGGAGTTGACATGAAAACAAATATTTGAATATTTAATCACAAATATTCAAAAAGTAATTTCTATTGAATTGACATCCCTATTAAAAATCAAGGATGACTTACCATAGGAGGAAGTCAAAGTGTTGAGATCACGTACAAGTTCCTTAGCAGTGGGGCGGTCTTCAGAGGAGAAAACTCGACATCTCTCTATCATATCAAGCATGGCAGACTTGCATTTTGAAATATGCGGGAAGTCTGTGCCCAGTACCCTCAGCCCCTCAGTAACAGGTAACTCCTTCGAAGCCTCTGATTGGTAAAAGTCCTTTTGCTAAAATACAAGGAACAGTCTGGTCTTACATATACAAAACGTTACTCCTTGGGAGGGTCTGATTGGTAAAAGTCCTTTTACTAAAATACAAGGAACAGTGTGGTGTTACATATACAAAAGGTAGTTGTTAGTAGATATAATAATATGTAGTATTGTTCGTGGTAAGTTTGGAAGAGTTTTAAATCAGATACTTTACAAGGAAACTAATGGAATGGATCTGATATAAAGAACATTTCATGTTGATGTCGTGTATACCAGTTCATGAACTCATTCTAATGCAAATTGTGGAAACAATATTTCTGTTTCAAAAAAAAATAGATGACAGAAATAACAAATAAAATTATCACATGATTGACAAAAAAAACCCCAACAATTTGATGACTCAAGTTTTAACTTAACACATTTCATAAGAAAGCAATTGAGATGAAAATCAATTTGAAAATAGAATATTTGATACTATGTTCTGTACTATGGTCCTAAAAGTGTATCTCTATTTTTCTACTTTGGGAAGAATGATGAGTATTCTATAGTGAAAATACTGCATTACAATTAACAAAGTATTTTAACTCCTAACACAAAGAAATGTGGCTGTAATTTACATAGCTTTTTCTAATTTAAAATGCTTTTCATTCTATCAAAGTTAGGTTTTTTCCTTAAACTTTAAAAACAAATTATATGTATCTTTAGTTACAGTGATTTTTCAAAGGACTTTTATGAAAAATATAGTCATGAATTTCTTTCCTATTTATTTCATTAGCAGCTTTAACTATAACAAAATATGAAACAGCTAAATCGACAAAAGAATTTCTTAACCTGATACTCCAGAACCAAACATTGGTTCCTATTGACAATATGGTCAATACAGGTGTTTTTAGGCCTTATTCTCTGAAATCATGTAAAAAAATACTTACCCGTTCAAAGGACATTGATGATGATGGTGGCTTATCAACCGGGTTCTCTCCAAGAGCAAACATTTCCCAAATTGTTGTTCCAAAGGCGAAAATGTCTGATTTCATGTTAGCACGGTTTTGTTTTCTGTTGAATAGTTCAGGTGCAATCCATGGAAGCCTGGATAATTGAAAGTAATAGACCAATTTAGAATTCATTCAACAAGTGATCCTAAGAGCATGTACTGATTAAGTTAGAATCTAACAAGATCCTGAGGCTCTGTATTGGTTTTATTGGTGTCACTTAGTGTGGGAAATCCTAATATTCCCAAGTGGTTAAATATTCTATTTGTCCCACTTAGTGTGGGAAATCCTACTATCAACAAAATAGGAAAGATTCTATTGGTCTCACTTAGTGTGGGAAATCCTAATATCAACAAGATAGGAAATATTCTATTTGTCTCACTTAGTGTGAGAAATCCTACTATCCCCAAGTGGTGAAATATTCTTTTCATTTCAGTAATAATTACCATAACTTTAGTATGCAAATACAGTACCTACATCCATCTTTGTATCCCAACAACAAAAGATTCAAAAGAAAAACAATCCCGCCCTCCCTACGATCCATGAGCCATCATGGCAGGAACACAGAGTGATCTCCCTTCCTCTTACCTTTATGGCTGCCGACGAGTGCGGAGGTGTCTGAGCTAAGTGCTTTTCTTACTCCTTCTCTTCGTACTGCCATTGTCGTTTGAGTATATTGTTACTCTATTAGTAGTCTATAAACCCATCTCCCAACTTATATTGTGAAATTAAGTATTGTCATTTGTTTATTTTGACCGTATTTGCGGCCGTTTTTTCCTCCACATATTTGAGTGCTTGACTACTTGTCTCGTTGCTCGGATTTGCGTGAAGTTGGAATTTGTTTTCTTGCTGCTTTGTCGGCCGTGTTGTACGACCGTTTTATTTATGCAGTGCAATCTTGCTGCGTACGGTAGGCTTTGTGCTCTCGTTCGTAGTTTTTTGATTGTTCGAGAACTTCGTTTCCGGCCGTGTTTTCCTCCGCATGTTCGAGTGTGTGACTACTTGTCTCGTCACTCGGATTTTCGTGAAGTTGAAATTGTTTTCTTGCTGCTTTGTCGGCCGTTTTGTACGACCGTTTTCTTTTTTTTGCAGTACAATCTTGCTGCGTACGGTAGGCTTTATGCAGCCCGACCCTGACTCGGCGCAGTCAAGGGTCGAATTGGCCGGTAGCTCTCGATAGCCGCCGGTGTTACCGTCGGAAAGGGACTTCCGGTCGAGGTCTCTGATTCCTTCAGGGACCTCGGCGTGCCAGGTTGCGTCGTTGGTGGGGGCCGCTTTGACTCCGGAACTGTGCCTTCGGGTATAGGGTCAGGGGCCACAGACTTTTTGTCAGGATTGTCTGCGGCTACGGGGATTAGTGACACTTGAGTTCACTAATCCTGTTGTCAGCGTGGGGTCTGTTTTCCCACCCTCACAGACTTCTGGCTCTGGGACTTTCCGTCCCAGTCCAGATTTCCCAGTGCAGGGTTTCCCAGGGGGTTTTCCCCCAAGGGTTTGGGGCTTCAGGCCAGGAGTCTGGTTTCCGGTCTCCCTTTCCCCTAGGCTCAGGGAGCAGGGGTGCCTGCGGGCTGTTCCTCCCAAGGGGACTTCGGTCTCTATTGAGGAAGAGATGGACATCGAGGGTGCAGGCTCAGCAGAGGAAGACGATGTCATTCATCTTTCTCATGGGCCAAGAGGGTTCACAAGGGGAAGATGGCCCTGAGACTGCTGAAGCCGAGGCTCAGCATGTGCTTTCGGGGATGCGGGTCCTCCGGGCCAACATCTCCCGGATTCTCAGGGCGGAGGTTTGCCCACCGCCTCAGCATCGTCGGCGCCTGAATCCACCATCCTTCTGGGTTCCCTGGTGGCTCCTCGGGATTCCGTTCGCTCAGATCGGTCTCTGCCAGGACATGCAGTTGACCATAGCGGTCAAGCATCTTTCTGGCAGGGTGAGTGTGTTAGTGGACACTCTCCAGGCGCCACCAGACGGTGTTGACGGAATGGCAGCTGTGTCCCTTGATTTTCAAGGGGAATTGTCAGGCGTGGGACAGACCTATTATAGACCTGTTTGCCACTTCCCTGAACAACCAGCTGCTAACCTTCGTCTCCCCGGTCCCAGACCGTAAGGCATGGGCTGTGGACGCCCTTTCTCTGGAATAGAAAGGGACGTATGCATATGCATTCCCTCCCTTCAACCTGGTGGGCAGGGTGCTACAGAAGTTCTGGGAGCATCACTGCTCCTTACTTCTGAGAGCCCCTCTGTGGCCGAGGCAAGCTTGGTTTCAGGAGCTTTTGTCGTTTCTGGTGGAGGAGCCCTTGGCTCTCCCCACCAGACCGAATCTCCTTCGCCAGCCTTGGCCCAGAACGACACACTCTTAACCAGAGATCCTCCACCTTCACGCGTTGAGGCTATCTCTGGAAGCCACGCCAAGGCAGGCTTTTCTCAAGAGGTGTCAGATTGCATTGAGCAATCAATCAGGGCTTCCTCTTCTGCCGTCTACCAGTCACGTTGGATGACCTTCTGTGATCTCCCTCCCTACTACTTTGGTTGTGCTGAAGGGGCTGCCTGGCTTCTAGTCACCACTACGGTAAGACGAATTCGCATACTAAAGTTATGGTAATTATTACTGAAATGAAATTGAGGTTTTTTAATGTAAAATCAATTTTCATGATGTAATACTTACCATAACTTTATGGAGTCCCACCCGATCCTCCCCTCTTCCTTATCTGCCTGGCTGCCCCTCTGTAGGGTACGCCATATAGGTTATTTGAGGAAGGGAGATCACTCTGCGTTTCTGTCGTGATGGCTCATGGATCGTAGGGAGGGCGGGATTGTTTTTCTTTTGAATCTTTTGTTGTTGGGATACAAAGATGGGTGTAGGTACTGTATTTGCATACTAAAGTTATGGTAAGTATTACATCATGAAAATAAGTTTTACATTAAAATTTGTCCATCTTAGTGTAGGAAATTCTACTATCAACAAGTGGTGAAATATTCTATTTGTCTCACTTAGTGTGGGAAATCCTAATATCAACAAGATAGGAAAGATTCTATTAGTCTCACTTAGTGTGGGAAATCCTAATATCCCCAAGTGGTGAAAGATTCTATTTGTCCCACTTAGTGTGGGAAATCCTAATATCCCCAAGTGGTGAAAGATTCTATTTGTCCCACTTAGTGTGGGAAATCCTACTATCCCCAAGTGGTGAAATATTCTATTTGTCCCACTTAGTGTGGGAAATCCTTCTATCCCCAAGTGGTGAAAGATTCTATTGGTCTCACTTAATGTGGGAAATCCTACTATCCCCAAGTGGGGAAAGATTCCATTAATCTCAATTAGTGTGGGAAATCCTAATATCCCCAAGTGGTGAAAGATTCTATTTGTTCAACTTTATGTGGGAAATCCTAATATCCCCAAGTGGTGAAAGATTCTATTTGTCTCAGTGTGGGAAATCCTACTATCAACAAGTGGTGAAAGATTCTTTTTGTCCCACTAAGTGTGGGAAATCCTACTATCAACAAGTGGTGAAATATTCTATTTGTCCCACTTAGTGTGGGAAATCCTTCTATCCCCAAGTGGTGAAAGATTCTATTGGTCTCACTTAATGTGGGAAATCCTACTATCCCCAAGTGGGGAAAGATTCCATTAATCTCAATTAGTGTGGGAAATCCTAATATCCCCAAGTGGTGAAAGATTCTATTTGTTCAACTTTATGTGGGAAATCCTAATATCCCCAAGTGGTGAAAGATTCTATTTGTCTCAGTGTGGGAAATCCTACTATCAACAAGTGGTGAAAGATTCTTTTTGTCCCACTAAGTGTGGGAAATCCTACTATCAACAAGTGAGGAAAGATTTTATTTGTTCAACTTCGTAAGGGAAATCCTAATATCTCGAGTGGTGAAGAATTTTATTTGTCCCACTTAGAGATCAGAAAGTGTTTTAGTTCTGTGAACCCACCTTCTTTTGTTGACCTTTTCGTTGTTCACCATTGAGGGATCTTCATACACCTGTATCATACCAGGATCTCCAATCTTCACAACGATTTCACTCATGTCGTAACGGAACACCAGGATGTTCTGGCAGTTTATGTTACCATGGTGAAGACCTATTTCCTCCTGAAAATTGTTCATTAAACTGTTTTTAGCAGTTATACACATTCCCTCTTTAGTTGGCAATAAGACCATACCAGGTAACAAGATTGGGATCCTGGCGCCCACCGTTTGAGGATCTGTTTTCAGTTCTTGAAGATTAGTTTTTTTTTTGTTTTTTTGTTACAGGTGTTGTAAATGTTCATGAACTGGTCTTCATTGAATGTACTCAATGATGGCACAAGATATTTTTATTTAGCACCTATTAGTAAACATCATTTGAAAAAGATCCCAAAGTATTAGTAGATAGCAGTCAGTTACAGGTGGATAATGGACATGGTCTTGAATCAATATGATAGAATATTGAAGAAAATATGCTTGTGCTGTATTACTGTCGACATCCAAGATGGCTGCCTGTGGGCCACCTTGATTTCAAATCAGTCGAAAAAAAGTACAATGCACAACTAGGGACCAAGGGAAACCAATACCTATGAAATATCAGAAGGATCCATCCAGTACTTCCTCAGAAATAGCGGTTACAAGATTTTACTCTCAAAATCCAAGATGGCTGCCTGTCAGCCATCATGATTTCGGATCAGTCCATAAAAGGTACAATGCACAACTAGGGACCAAGAGGAAACTGCATATGAAATTTGAGAAAGATCCATCCAGTACTTTCCAAGAAATAGCGGTAACAAACTTTTACTTCCAAAATCCAAGATGGCCGTCTGTCAGCCATCTTGAATTCGAATCAGTCCAAAAATGGTACAATGCACAACTCGGGACCAAGGGGAACCTGCATATGAAATTTGAGAAAGATCCATCCCGTACTTTTCCAGAAATAGCGGTAACAAGAATTGTTTACGGACGGACGTACCACAGACGCAGGACGATTTGAATAACCCACCATCATCAGATGGTGGGCTAAAAAGCCCATCTAACCATTTTATTTTCAGGTTTTCACCTTTTTTCTGTCATACACCTATATCCTACTTTAAGTCAGAAATCATGTGTTGGTTCTCTGGCATGGTTTCAAGATATGTAGACTTAAATATATTGAAGTAACAATGAGAGATACAATTTTTCAGTGTACTTTTTTCCTAATTTCCTAATTCTGACTTTGTCATTTTTCACTTTGTCTGTACCTAATTCTGAATTTGTCAATTTTTATTGTCCTTTTTTGTACCTAATTCTGACATTGTCATTTTTCATCATACTTGGTTTGTACCTAAGTCTGACATCGTCATTTTTCATCGTACTATGTTTCTCAATTACCATGAAGAAAGATTGTAAATAAGAACATACTATTAACTGGAAGTCATAGTAAAATATACCACTAGGTGGCGCTACTCACCAGGTGAAAGAGTCCTTGCGCAACTTGCGTGGCAGCATAAACCAAATGGCGGAGATAGATTGGTTGATCTGTGCGGCGACATGAAAAGAAATGGGACAAGGATCCCTCCCTGGCGTAGTCCATGACAATTTTAATGGGCATAGACATACAGACTCCTAAAATTCCAGCAAAATATCCAGGCTCCTGTACTTCACGAAATTTCATGTGCTGTCGCAAGGCATAGAGGAATGGCTGAAAAAAAAAATTTTGCTTGGTTGTATTCATGAAGTTAAAAATAACATTGATAATTTAAGAACAAACAAGAGGCACAGAGGTCCTGTATCGCTCACCTGGATCTTTATGACCAACATTACTATATCTGTGCATATGTTCCATGTTTAACACATTTGACCCCTGTGACCTTGACTATGGGTCAAGGTCATTGCTTTTACTTTTTTGGACTTCATAAAAGGAACATACTGGCCAAACATAATGATTCTAGGCTTTTCGATCTTTCAGAAGAAATTGTTTAAACGTTTTAACATATTTGACTCCTGTGACTTGAAGATTGATCAAGGTCATTTCTTTTAGCAAACTTTGTAGGACACCATAAAAGGAACATAGTAGCCTAATATCATGATTCTAGGCCTTCTGGTATTTTGAAAGAAGTCGCTTAAAATTTTTAACACATTTGCCCTCTGTGACCTTGAATATGGGCCAAGGTTATTTCTCTATGCAAACTTTGTTGGGCTTCATAAAAGTCACTATCCAACAAAATAAAATGATTCTAGACCTTTCGGTATTTTGGAAAAAGTTGTTGAAATGGTTTTAACACATTTGACCTCAGTGACCTTGCATATGGGTCAAGGTCATTTCTTTTTGCACACTTTGTTGGGCTATATCAAAGGAACTTCCAGCCATATATAATGATTCTAGGCCTCCCAGTATTTTGGAAGAAGTCGTTTAAATGTTTTAACACATTGGACCTCAGTGACCTTGAATATGGGTCAAGGTTATTTTCTTTTTGCAAACTTTGTTGGGCTTCATCAAAGGAACCTTCCAGCCATATATAATAATTCTAGGCCTTCTGGTATTTTGAAGTCGTTTAAAGGTTTTAACACATTTGAACTATGTGACCTTGAATATGGGTCAAGGTCATTTCTTTTTGCAAACTTTATTTGGCTTATCAAAGGAAGCTTCCAGCCAAATACACCTTTCAGTATTTCAGAAGAAGATGTTTAAATGAAAAGTTGACGGACGCCGGATGGACGGACGATGGACGACAGATGACAGACAACGGACTATGGACGGATGGATGGAAAATGGACGATGGACGCTGGACGACAGATAACGGACGAACAATTGGAAGACGGATGACAGACTGATGGACAAATGGACGATGGATGCCGCGCTATGGCATAAACTCACTTGGCCCTTTGGGTAAGGTGAGTTAATAATTTTTCAATTTTTAACTTCCTAGAAATTCTGAAACTAAATGTTTTCATTTGAAGTTGTATTTAATAATATGTTCAATCTAAAAATATGTATTCTGTAATGAGGTTTTATAAAATCTATAAGTAAAGAAAGAATGTAAAACAGTCTCAACAATAGACAGTTATATACAGTCCTAATGTTACCTTATTGTCAGAACTTATACTGTATTTCCAGACAATTATCACTACATAATACATTGTAGTTACAGCCTCCTACAGTACCTTCCACAAATAACATAGCAGCAACACCGAGATATTGTCAGAACTGATACTGTACCTCCAGGCAGGAATACAACTGGTTAGGTGACACAGAGATATTGTCAGAACTGATACTGTACCTCCAGGCAGGAATACAACTGGTTAGGTGACACCGAGATATTGTCAGAACTGATACTGTACCTCCAGGCAGGAATACAACTGCTTAGGTGACACAGAGATATTGTCAGAACTGATACTGTACCTCCAGGCAGGAATACAACTGGTTAGGTGACACAGAGATATTGTCAGAACTGATACTGTACCTCCAGGCAGGAATACAACTGGTTAGGTGACACCGAGATATTGTCAGAACTGATACTGTACCTCCAGGCAGGAATACAACTGGTTAGGTGACACCGAGATATTGTCAGAACTGATACTGTACCTCCAGGCAGGAATACAACTGGTTAGGTGACACCGAGATATTGTCAGAACTGATACTGTACCTCCAGGCAGGAATACAACTGGTTAGGTGACACAGAGATATTGTCAGAACTGATACTGTACCTCCAGGCAGGAATACAACTGGTTAGGTGACACAGAGATATTGTCAGAACTGATACTGTACCTCCAGGCAGGAATACAACTGGTTAGGTGACACAGAGATATTGTCAGAACTGATACTGTACCTCCAGGCAGGAATACAACTGGTTAGGTGACACAGAGTTTTTGTCCTCCAGGCAGGAATTGACTGGCTAGGTGACACAGAGATATTGTCAGAACTGATACTGTACCTCCAGGCAGGAATACAACTGGTTAGGTGACACAGAGATATTGTCAGAACTGATACTGTACCTCCAGGCAGGAATACAACTGGTTAGGTGAAGTTTTTGTCCTGAGAAACTTGATTGCTACAGTCTGGTTGTCTTTGTAAGTACCTTCATACACCTGTGTGAATTTACTGATGCCTGCAAAATACAAAAAAAGTGAGATTAAGAATGATTGAGATTGCCAGTGTAAAGCTTTTATAAGAAAGAATTTCTGTATGTGCTAGCCTCACTAGAAAGACGTTCTGAAGATGAGGTTCCCTATGGGCTGGCCTCACTAGAAAGACGTTCTGAAGATGAGGTTCCCTATGGGCTAGCCTCACTAGAATGACGTTCTGACAAAGAGGTTTCCTCTATGTGCTAGCCTCACTAGAAAGACGTTCTGAAGATGAGGTTCCCTATGGGCTAGCCTCACTAGAATGACGTTCTGACAAAGAGGTTTCCTCTATGTGCCGGCCTCACTAGAAAGACTTTCTGAAGATGAGGTTCCCTATGGGCTGGCCTCACTAGAAAGACTTTCTGACAATGAGGTTCCCTATGGGCTGGCCTCACTAGAAAGACTTTCTGAAGATGATGTTCCCTATGGGCTGGCCTCACTAGAAAGACTTTCGGAAGACGATGTTCCCTATGGGCTGGCCTCACTAGAAAGACTTTCTGAAGATGATGTTCCCTATGGGCTGGCCTCACTAGAAAGACTTTCTGAAGATGAGGTTCCCTCTATAGGCTGGCCTTACTAGAAAGACTTTCTGACAATGAGGTTCCCTTTTCCGGTGGCCAGAGTGGACAGTCAGACAATGGTAACATACAAGAATATAATGTAAAGTTTTCTGATTTCGCTATAGTCTATCTGGTGCTGTTAATACTTTATTCCAACTCCTGGACTGACCTCTCCGCAATATGCATTCATACAATGACGAGAATTCTTCATCATTCCATAAAACTATGTGAAGCGGTCATCCTTTCCCAGTGAGTAGTTGCCATGTTTCGTTAACCTGTATACATGTACGCTTTGATCAATCACTTCATATAAACATTCAATATTTGTCTGCATGTAAACTGTGACTGTTAAAATGGATCCTGCCATTCAAGAAAGTATAAATACTATTAGCTCTATAAAAGACCCCAGTGTAATTAGCGAAGTGGTTACTCAGCTTTTAAACAACAACCTTCTCAAGGACATTTTCATGTCAAAACTAGGTATTGACGACCTCAGGAATAAAATTATTTTGTTGAAGAATAGACTAGATGACTGTGAGCAATACTCAAGATGTAACTGTCTGAAATTTAGCGGAATTCCCGAAAAAATTGGTGAAAACACTGATTCCAAGATTATTGAAGCGGTCGATACACAACTTGGCGGTATCATAACTAGAGAATCTGACATTAGCTGTTCTCATAGGGTTGGGCCCAAGTCTGATAAGTACCATAGATTCCTATCTTACAGGGTACGCGCTTCTAATTATGAAGCCAGATTTTCACTATTCTTGCAATCTGAAGACACTAGTGGCAGTACTAGTAAGAACCCTAGCCAAACCACCCAAGATCGTCGGCCCTATAAGCTGTTTTTTAATGAGGCACTCACCAAACAACAAGCTGAAGTATATGCTAAGGCATGTTTTCTTAAAAAAGCTGGTCATATATCAGGGACATGGACCAATGACGGTGGGATTGTCATACATAATAATAATGGTAGTAAGGCCCAAGTGACCAGGCCGAGTGAAACATCATCCTTCCCTGATCCTCCTCCGCTGAGCAAACAGACCAAGATTCGTACTCTAGCCGACACCCCATACCGAGGACAACATACCAGCACCACTAAATCTCAAAATAGCTTCGCTTCTCTCTCCATCGAAGGCTAATAGGACGCACAAAAATAGGTCCATACATGTATAAGATTGACTAATTTGTGAACCCCAAGTATATATATATAGTACAATGTGTACGTCTGTGTATTACCAATTTGAAAAGTCATATCATTATATGAACTTGGTTATATGTGTACAACTGTGTATTTCCAATTTAAAAAAAGGTCATATTATCAGTTGAAGTTGGTATTTCCAATTTCAAAAAGTCATATTATTATATGAAATTAGTCTTTCGATTTAAAAAGTTGAATTATTATATGAACTTGGTACAAACCATGTGTCTCCAATTCAATAAGTCACATTATATGAACTTTTTATACATTGTATGTGTACATCTGTGTATTTATGAACCTAGTAATGTGTAACAAGAAAAGCTGTCAAAATATGAACATCACACAGAGTCAAATGCAAAACTGCTACATAGGTCCCCATCATTTTTTTTTTTAAATTGTGGTTACTGCCCCAAGCCCCCTTCTTTATTTTTCTTCCCCAGACTAACCAGAATAACTGTAAAATCCTTAATATGTATTAAGCATTCTGAACTTAATAGAACTGATCCTATCTTAAATAGCATAAAAAAGTAATCAATGGAATGCCGGGAATCTACGTAGCAGATTCCACCACCTTGCTTCTATTACGTTACTGCGGACATGACTCTTCGATACATTATCCTTATCATATCTTCCAAAAATCACAGAATTCTCATCACATAAATCTCAGTTTTTTTTCCTACACTTGAACGTCTGCTGAGAAAACGTGCTGTTTCTTTTTATCACAGGGACGTTCAAAATTATTAAATCATTGTTGATTTTGATAAATTTTAGAACCAAAACATTGAACAAAGAAAGAGATAAGAAGGCTACAGATTCTTCATATAAGTTTAATTATTACATTATTCCATAATGATAACAATAATAATTGTCCAATTCCTGACATTATTTCCTTTTATTTATATACATATACCTTTTAACTTATTGTTTCTCATGCCCCTGTGCTTAGTATCTAGGTCAATTCAAGCATCTAATGCACCCTGATGACCAGCAAGTCAGGGTCAATTTCCATTTGTAAACAATGTGTGTTTTCGAATGTAGTGTATGTCGACAGCAACTGGTATCTATACATGTATGTCGAGAGTAAACAGCAACTGGTATCTATACATGTATGTCGAGAGTAAACAGCAACTGGTATCTATACATGTATGTCGAGAGTAAACAGCAACTGGTAGCTATACATGTATGTCGAGAGTAAACAGCAACTGGTAGCTATACATGTATGTCGAGAGTAAACAGCAACTGGTATCTATACATGTATGTCGAGAGTAAACAGCAACTGGTATCTATACATGTATGTCGAGAGTAAACAGCAACTGGTATCTATACATGTATGTCGAGTGTAAACAGCAACTGGTATGTATACATGTATGTCGAGAGTAAACAGCAACTGGTATGTATACATGTATGTCGAGAGTAAACAGCAACTGGTATCTATACATGAGTAAACAGCAACTGGTATCTATACATGTATGCCGAGAGTAAACAGCAACTGGTATCTATACATGTATGTCGAGAGTAAACAGCAACTGGTATCTATACATGTATGTCGAGAGTAAACAGCAACTGGTAGCTATACATGTATGTCGAGAGTAAACAGCAACTGGTATCTATACATGTATGTCGAGAGTAAACAGCAACTAGTATCTAAACATGTATATCGAGAGTAAACAGCAACTGGTATCTATACATGTATGTCGAGAGTAAACAGCAACTGGTAGCTATACATGTATGTCGAGAGTAAACAGCAACTGGTATCTATACATGTATGTCGAGAGTAAACAGCAACTGGTAGCTATACATGTATGTCGAGAGTAAACAGCAACTGGTAGCTATACATGTATGTCGAGAGTAAACAGCAACTGGTATCTATACATGTATGTCGAGAGTAAACAGCAACTGGAAGTCGTCAAGAGTCTTTACAACCTAGGATCTTCATTTTACCAGTGGGTAAGACCTGTGTTTTTACTCAACAGTTTCGTATGGGCTGGCCTCACTAGAAAGACATTCTGAAGATGAGGTTCCCTATAGGCTGGCCTCACTAAAAGGAATTTCTGACAATGAGGTTCCCTATGGGCTGGTCTTACTAGAAAGACTTTCTGAAGATGATGTTCCCTATGGGCTGGCCTCACTAGAAAGACTTTCTGACAATGAGGTTCCCTTTGGGCTGGCCTCATTAGAAAGACTTTCTGAGAATGATGTTTTGTATGGGCTGGCCTCACTGGAAAGACTTTCTGAAGATGAGGTTCCCTATAGGCTGTCCTCACTAAAAGGAATTTCTAACAATGAGGTTCCCTATGGGCTGGTCTTACTAGAAAGACTTTCTGAAGATGATGTTCCCTATGGGCTGGCCTCACTAGAAAGACTTTCTGAAGATGAGGTTCCCTATGGGCTGGCCTCACTAGAAAGACTTTCTGACAATGAGGTTCCCTATGGGCTGGCCTTCTAGAAAGACTTTCTGAAGATGAGGTTCCCTATAGGCTGTCCTCACTAAAAGGTTCCCTATGGGCTGGCCTCACTAGAAAGTTCTGACAATGAGGTTCCCTATGGGCTGGCCTCACTAGAAAGACTTTCTGACAATGAGGTTCCCTTATGGGCTGGCCTCATTAGAAAGACTTTCTGACTATGAGGTTCCCTATGGGCTGGTCTCACTAGAAAGACTTTCTGACAATGAGGTTTCCTATGGGCTGGTCTCACTAGAAAGACTTTCTAGAAAGACTTTGAGGTTCCCTATGGGCTGGTCTCACTAGAAAGACTTTCTGACAATGAGGTTCCCTATGGGCTGGTCTTAGTAGAAAGACTTTCTGACAATGAGGTTCCCTATGGGCTGGTCTCACTAGAAAGACTTTCTGACAATGAGGTTCCCTATGGGCTGGTCTTACTAGAAAGATTTTCTGACAATGAGGTTCCATATGGGCTGGTCTTACTAGAAAGACTTTCTGACAATGAGGTTCCCTATGTGCTGGTCTTACTAGAAAGACATTCTGACAATGAGGTTCCCTATGGGCTGGCCTATAGAAAGACTTTCTGACAATGAGGGCTGGTCTTACTAGAAAGACTTTCTGACAATGAGGTTCCCCCTATAGAAAGGACAATGAGGTGGGCCGGCCTCACTAGAAAAAGACTTTCTGACAATGAGGTTCCCTATGGGCTGGTCTTACTAGAAAGACTTTCTGACAAGGAGGTTCCCTATCGGCTGGTCTTACTAGAAAAACTTTCTGACAAT